AGAAAGTACAAATGACCTAAAAAACTGTTCACAGAAGTAATGGCAGAAAACTTCCCAAGCAGAAGAAAAGAACTCGACATACAGATAAGTGAGGCATATAGGGCTCCAACTAGCCATAATAAAAAAAATCTAGTCCTAAACATATAATAAACAAGATCCCAGAAACCCAACAGAAGAACAAAATACTACAAGGAGTTAGAGAAAAGAAACATCACATACAAAGGAAAGACCATCAGAATCACAGCAGACTTTTCAACACAAACCTTCAGGTCAAGGAGAGCCTGGAGTAAAGAATTTCAAGCCCTAAAAGAAAAAAACTTCAAACCTAGATTGTTATATCTTGCCAAACTATCTTTCAAAATCAATGGAGAAATAAGATACTTCCACAGCAAAGAACACCTGAGAAACTTCATGAATTCCAAACCAGCACTCCAAACAATTCTAAACAATATCCTAGAAAAAAAAAATCAATGACAGGGCCAGGAATTTAGCTCAGTACTTCTGCCACTTACCTTGCAGGCACAGGACCTGAGTTCGATCCCTGGTACCAAAACAAAACAAAACAAAACAAAATGAGGGTCACAACTCCTTGGGGCCCAACAGAGTGAAGCCATCAGGCAAGGAAAGAAATTAAAGGAAAAGTGGGGAAAAAATAAAAAACAAAAGAGCCAACAACAGGTAATATCATGACAAGGATAAGTCAATATATATCAGTTCTAAACATCAATGTTAATGGCCTCAATTCACCAATCAAAAGAAATAAAGTAGCAGAATGGATTAGGAAACAAAATCCAAAAATATTCTGTATACAAGAAACACACTTAATTAAGAGAGAAATTCATAGACTGAAAGTAAAAGGATGGAAAACAGTTCTCCATCTGACAGGAACCCAGAAAAAAGCAGGGATAGCTATCTTACTTGAAGAAAAGGTAGATTTCAAACCAACACTAACTAAGAGAGATAAAGAAGATCACTACATCTTTGTAAAGGAAGCAATCAAAGAGGAAGAGATGACAATCATAAATATATATGCACCAAACATTAGTGCACCCAATTGTATAAAACAAATATTAATGGACATGAAAAACCAAATAAGCACTAATACAATTGTAGTGGGGGACCTCAATACCCCACTGTCTCAAGTAGACAGATCATTTAGACAGAAAATCAATGAAACGCTAGAACTGAACCAAACTTTTGAACAAATGGACTTAACAGATGTCTACAGAGTATTCCACCCCACAAAATCAAAATACACATTCTTTTCAGTTACACATGGGTCATTCTCCAAAATAGATCACACACTAGCTCATAGAACTTGTTTAAATAGATGCAAAGACATTGCACTTATCCCCTATATATTATCAGACCATAGTGCAATAAAATTGGAGATCAACAGCATAAAAAACCACAAGAACTTCACAAACACATGAAAATTGAATGACACTCTCCTGAACAACCAATGGGTCCCAGAGGAAATTAAAGAAGAAATTAGACAGTTTCTACAATTAAATGATCATATCAATACAACATACAGGAATTTATGGGACACAGCAAAAGCAGTTCTATGAGGGAAATTCATAGCAGTGAATGCCCATAAGAGGAAAACAGAACAAGCTCAAATAAACAACCTAATGCTGAACCTCAATCTCCTACAAAAAAGATCAAGACAAGCCCAGATCTCATACAAGAGAGGAAATTGTAAAGATCAGAGCAGAAATCAATGTAATGGAGACTAAGAGAATGATACAAAAAAATCAATGAATCAAAGAGTTGGCTCTTAGAAAGAATAAATAAAATTGACAAACCCTTAGCCAACCTTATCAAAAAAATGGAAAGAAAAGGCTCAAATCCATGCAATTAGGAGTGAAAATGATGAAATCACAACAGATCCAACAGAAATCCAGAGGCTCATCAATACCTACTTCAAGAACCTGTACTCCAATAAGATGGAAAACACAGAAGAAATGGTCAAATTCCTAGATACATATAAATTACCAAAGTTGAATGAAGAAGATATAAAAATTCTAAACACCCCAATTTCAATCAGTGAAATTGAAAATGTAATTAACATTTTACCATCAAAGAAAAGCCCGAGTCCTGATGGCTTCACAGCTGAATTCTACAAGACATTTAGGGAAGAGCTAATGCCACTACTTCTCAAACTCTTTAATGAAATTGAAAGGGAAGCAATACTCTCAAATTCATTCCAGGAAGCAAGCATTACTTTGATTCCAAATGCTGAAAAAGACCTAACCAAAAATAAAACTACAGGCCAATCTCCCTAATAAATTTAGATGCAAAAATCCTCAATAAAATACTGGCAAACAGAATACAGAGGATCATCAAGATCACATACCCTGACCAAGTAGGATGCACCCCAGGGATGCAAGGATGGTTATATGTAAACCAATAAATGTAATACACTGTATTAACAGAGTCAAGGACAAAAACCATGTGATCATTTTACTAGATGCAGAAAAAGCATTTGACAAAATCCAACAGCCATTCACGATAAAAACCCTACAGAAAATTGGAATAGATGGTCTTTATCTAAACTTGAAAAGGCTACCTGTAAAAAACCAACAGCCAACGTCATGCTAAATGGTCAAAAGCTAAAGCCTTTCACATTAAAATCAGGAACAAGATAAAGATGTCCACTACAACCACTCCTGTTCAATATAGTTCTGGAAACATTAGCCTCAGCAGTTAGACAAGAGAAAGAAATAAAAGAAACAAAAAAAGGAAAGGAAGCATTTAAACTGTCATTATTTGCTCATGATATGATGCTCTACATAAAAGACCCAAAAAACTCTGCTAAAAGACTCCTAGACTTAATTGACAGATTCAGCAGAGTATCTGGATACAAGGTCAACACTCAAAAATCAATAGCCTTGTACACAAACGACATACTCACTGAGAGAAAAACTAGGGAAAAAATTCCTTTAACAATAGCATCCAAAAAAATGAAATATCTAGGAATCAATCTAATGAAGGAAGTAAAAGACCTCTACCTTGAAAAGTACAGTACTCTGAAAAAAGAGACTGAAGAGGATATAAGAAAATAGAAAGACATTCCTTGTTTCTGGGTAGGAAGAACTAATATAGTAAAAATGGCCATGCTCCCAAAACTGCTAAATAGATTCAGTGCAATTCCAATTGAATTCCCAACAGTATATTTCACAGAACTAGAGAAAACAATCCAAAAATTCATTTGGAAGAAGAGACCTAGAATAGCAAAAGCACTGCTAGGCAACAAAAACATGACAGAGGTATAATCCCCAACATGATACAATACTACAAAGCCACCATGATAAAAACAGCATGGTACTGGAAAAGAAACAGACCTGCAGACGAGTGAAATAGATAAGAAGATGCAGAAACAACTCCAGATGTACTCAGACAATTCATCTTTTTTTTTAAACTTTTTTTCACTATATTAAATTCTTTTATTGGTACATTGTAGGTGTACAACACAATTACATTTCTCATTGGGAATTGTACCTTTACATAATGCATCTTGGTTCTTATTTTCTCCCCATTC